CGTAAACAACGGGTTTTTCCAAAAATTATCAAAATTTATCAAAAGGCAGCGGAACTCAAAAAGGCATAATCCAAAGTTTTCCTTGTACGGAAATATAATCGAAATAACAAAAATCAAATAAAACATGGTTCAACTCAAAGATCCCAACCCAATGTTACACTATCAGAGCAAGACCCACCAAGTGAACCAAAATAGCCAACAACTTAAAACTCCAAAAAGATCATCGACGACATCCACGGCTAAACCTGGTCATCTGCACGTTACCCATGTGCATGCAACATTCAAATAGGCAGACTGAGTAAAACGATTCATAATAATCAATATAGGAAATCAATGTATAAAACATCATCATTGTCATATTATGCATCATCATATTCATCAATGGGCATCAAAGGCCACAACATCATAAATTACTCAAGGTTATCTCATAATGCAAATGCAACAAGACCCATGCATGTGGTACCAATCATCACAGCTCGATGGACACTGGGCCATCAACTCTCCATAGATCCCCATCAATAGGATCGATTCTATACAAGAACCGGAGCACATCAAAATACCTCACATCCGCACAATGTGACTGAAGCCAAAGAAATCAAGGTCCTAAACCGAAGTCCGGATGCATATGAATGCATGATGCACACGTTAATATCATCCTCATAATAAACTCATTAGGTGCATCATCATTCATCAAATTCATCATAATAATCATGTCATCATATAATCATCAAAAACTCATGGAATCAACATCATAAATCATCACAATTACTCATGGGAATTCATTATACAGTCATGCTTTAATCACATAGGAATCACAACTATACTCATAGTAATTCATCATACATTCATTTAATCACATAAAAGTCATGGTTACCCTCATGGTAATTCATCAGGAAAATCACAACATCAAAACATCAAGACATCACTAAACCAGAACATAATTCATTAATATAACATATACACAATTGACTTCTCAAACATAATTAGATATAAAAATATTGGGAACCCAATTCCCTTATCTATACTATGTTATATCCATGTTCATTAGCTTTCCAACACTTCAAATAGTTCGTCATTTAGATTAACGGTTAAAAAGTTATGATCGAAATCGTTTCTGGCGTTTTCCTACCTATGAGTCGACTCAAAGGTCGACGCATTGAGCTATGAGTCGACGCACATAGCTATGAGTCGACGCATACTATTAAAATTTCCACAAATTTGCATTCAGGTAACCTCAGGTCGACCCAGGGGTTCTAGCGGTCGACTCACACTGTTCCGAACCCCAAAAATCACTTTTTTTAAGAGCACTTTCACCCCAGATTATCACTCCAAAGTATATACCACTAACCCCCATCACCCTAGACCCGATTTTATATCAAAATAACATCCTATTTATGCCTCTAATTCTCATAATTTCCTTACAACTACACGACGGTCATTAGAGTACTCACTATCTAATTATCCTACATGGTTAAAACCTCAACAACAGATTTTTGGCCACGAAGACCTACTTTCCCTACAACCCAAATTAACCTCAAACCTATCAGACCATCAGTTTTCAAATCTCTATACGGTTAAAACCTCAATAATAGATTTTGGCCACGGAGGCCTAATTTCCCTTATCTCAAATCAGCCTCAAACCCCTTAAACCCTTAAATCAACTTTAAATACATTGAATCACATATTGAAAACAATGAAGGCAATACTCCCCATACGTTAATTTCTGACTCTAAGCCTTTCTCTTTGATTCTCAGAAACCTTGCGAAGCTTTTGCCTCAATCCTCATCCTCAGAGTTCTCACCTCTATTTCTTCCCTTTTCACGGTCTAACAAGAATGAATCCTAATTTCCTCAAAATTCCTTTTTGTTAAACCTAACTTTGGGCCTTAAATTCGGGCTTTCCAACTTCACCCTCACTAACTCCTCCTCAAATGTCCATTTTGCCCTTAATTCACTTATATTTATTTAAATTAATAATAATACCAATATATTCATATTATATACTATTATTTAAATAAATAACCCAAAATTCATAATTCTCAATACTTCATACCAACCACCGCAAATCACCAAAAATACGAATATTTCTATTTAAATAAATTAAATAAATATTCCAAATAAATTTGGGGTGTTACAGTTAGCATGAATGAAAAAGGGATGATGTGTTTGGTTTTGAAAAGGTGTAGGAATAATAGGTTGGTTAGGCGCTATGTTTGTGGAGAATTAAAAAAGGAAAGATATAACAGATGATTCAATATTTAAAACTTGTTCAAAATTAGTTGTATGTGAAATTAGATCAGTGTAGGGGTATGTGTTTTCATAAAAAGTGAAGTCTCTAGAAATAAAGGTGGATCTTGTGTGAAGGTCAAATGGAAGGTAACCTTTTGTGCCATTATTGTATCCTAGAAATATGCATCTACTGGCTCTAGGGTCAACCTTGTCACGATGCCTGTTTATAATGGTGGCATATGTTAGGCAACCAAAAGTCTCAAGATTATTAAAAGAGGGAGTTTATTTGAATATAAGCTCATAAGGAGTATTGTGGTTAATGGTGGCACTACATATCCTGTTAATTAATTATGTAGGATGACATACAGGAAATGACCAAAAACATTTAGGCAACTTAGCATGAAATAAAATAGATCTAACGACGTTTAATAATTGTTTATGCTTTGTTTTAATAATGAAGTTTTGTTGAGGTGTTTAAATGCAACTTCTTTGATGGAGAATATCTAACTTAGGGATTTTGGGGCAACCTCTTCCTCTTCCACGACCAATAGGGTTTGCAGCAAGAAAAATTGAAGAATTTGGGACAAAAGATGGAGGTAAAGAAAATCCTTGTTGAATACTTAGAGAGTAAACCTTATTTATGCTTGGAATTATATCAAGGAGTAAAATCTAGGTGCATATGTTATGATAATTGTCATTCAAACCCTTGAGAAAACACATAATGTAATCCATAAGCATGTAGTTGTGCACGACTTTGGCAAGGTCGCAAGAAAAACAAATAGGGCAAGAACAAGACATAATGGGGTGTAGGTATTCAAGTTCATCCCAAAGGATCTTCAGATCGATGAAGTATTGGGAAAAAGGATCTATCATATTCCTTTATGGAATGAAAATCGCGTAAGAGATTAGAGAAGCGTAAATGTTTACCTTTGGTGAATCTTTTGCGAAAATCATTCTAGAGTTCGAATGTCGAATCAAAGCTGATTGTACTCTGAGCAATATGAGGCGATAGAGTTATGATGATCTAAGAAAACACCACGTTGTTGGCGCGATCCCAAGGCTCGAAACTAGCATCGTAGAAATCAAGTTTGGAGAGTGCTCTATTAATGAAAGATAATTTGTTCTTGGATGTGAGGGCACAATACATGAATTTGCTTTAGTTGTGATAATTGTTATCTGCGAGTGGTAGCGCAACAAGGATGAAGCTAGGATTTATTCTTGATTTCTCTTTCGTAGCTTCATTGGTAAACATGAGTTATATTGCCCTAGAGAAATTTTTGTAGTTTTTATCATGTCTTTTTGAAACAGGATCGAGTGACTTTAACTATTGATAACTTTGTGATTTTCACTCAATCTTACTCAAAACCAATCTTTCACTCTCAATATTTAAAGAATTAATGTATGACTTTCAAAATCCTCATCCAATATAAATTTTGATTTCTCAAACTAATTTTTTTTTGTATTATAAATAAAAATAAATCATTCAAAATCTTACTAAAATTCTTCTATTATTTCCACACTATTCTTTCTTTTTTTAAAACTCTCATTCTTTCCCAACCAAACTTCCAAATAAAGAGTAAATAAATGTAATATAATCTAAATGAGTTTTTATGAAAGATAAACATGGTTTGTGTTAATAGTTTTGTAAGTTAAATTAGGGAGTTATTCTTGTATAATTACAATACTAAATATAATTTTTTTTAGTATACTCACACAACATTAACCTTTATCTTTATTTTTAAAATAATTTTAAAAGAGTTTAATTGTTATGCATTGATAGTATAAATATAAAAATGTTTTACAGTATCATCTAATAAGAATATATCATTCTGCCACATCATATAATTATCTTAAAATTTTTAGTATAACTTAACAGAATACATGGTCGTAATTAGTTGACATTATAAAAAAATTTTACACTACAAATGTATCACTTTTTTTTCATGTTAAAAATAATTCTAAAATTTACTTTTTATTTATTTATAAATATACTTGTAAAGTCTTATGACCATGGAAGACTTACCCTAAATTAAAAACATGTATCATTTGTAATAAAACAAATAAATGTATTCCATATTTATTTTAAAAGTTGACCATAAGACCTAACACCTAAATAGGTGAAAGACAAGACAAAAACCCAAAATGTTATTTTATAACAAACCATGGTAAAAAAAGTTCAAAAACAAAACTATACACTATGATTATGATGTATGTTCTTTCAAATATCTTAAACTCAATCAACTTACCATTAACCTCATAATAAAAAATAATAACATTAATATATTTCCTCTATAAAAAAAAGACTAAACTTGTCCATCATTAAATTCTTGAAAAACAAAGAAATATAGAAGAAAAAGAAAGGAAGGTTGAATCCCATTACAAGCCATGTGCCAATGGGACACACACACAACATTAACAAGCAAGTGTGGAAAAACAAAGAAAGATAGATCCTTGATCTATGAGGAAGTAAGCAAGCAAAAAAGTGGGCCATAATAAAAGTAATAATAATAAACCATGTGATGGTGAGTATTCATATTCATATATCAATATATCAATATATCAATCTCAATTCTCACCTCACCCTCACCCTCCTTTCATCATTTTTTTTTTATTTTCTCTGACACTCCCACCTCAACAAGATGAAGAAGAAGATGAACAAACACATAACCAACCACGTGCAGATCTAGCACATTCATTGCATTGCACAATTTCTAGATCTTCTTCTTGTTGTTGCTGTTGGTGTTGCAGTGACAGTGGAATCAACCACCAACCATGATGAATGGTAGAAGTGGAAGAGACTCTCTCTATGGATCCCTCAACCATCACCGACGAAGCAATACCTTCAATAATCACTCCAATGGTGTTTCCATCAACAACAACCACGATGATAACGCCCTTGATCTATTCTCCAACAACCGGCGTTCACTCTCTCTACCTTCTTCAGATGACTCTTCTGACGGTGCTTTCAACAACCCTTTTGATTTCTCATTCTTAATTTCTCCGAAAAATATGTTTTTTTTTTGCTTCTTCTGAAACTCCGGAGTTCTGTCTGAGATAAGTAGAATCTGACCATGAATTGTTCCGACCTGGATTTGGAGTTGGGTTTTTCGTTTTAGTTTAATGAAAATGATGTCATGTCTGGTTATGTTAAATGGGAGAAAGAACAAAAAAAGTAGCTTTATGGATAATTGATATTCAATTAAGAAGTTACTTGATTGTGAGATTTGTATTTTTGCATGGTGTCAATTAATCTATATGCTATTTTGTCGTGTTAAGGATTTTTACTGATTAGGCTTTAGTCTATTGTTTCTGCAATTTTTGTCTTGTTAAGGATGTTTACTAATTAGGCTTTAGTCTATTGTTTCTGCAATTTTTGTCTTGTTAAGGATGTTTGGTAATTAGGCTTTAGTCTATTGTTTATGCAATTTTTGTCTTGTTTCTATTTTTTTTATGATATTAATTGATTGGTATTTGTGGATTCAGTTTCTGTGAAATTGGGGAGACTCTCAGTTGGAGGAGCAAAGCCAGCTAGAAATGGGATTGAGGATATGTTGGCATCTGTAGAAGGAGGAAAGCATGACTATGATTGGTATGTATCATGTATGCTACAATTTACACTCATTTCATAAGGATCTGTTATTAGTAGATTGAATTTGAGTAAAACTAGAAAAATGGTGTTAATGTTTTTTAGTGCATTATTAGCAGTTTCCCTTGGAAAGATTATATTGTTAGATGAGATCATTCCTAGATCTGGAAGTAATTGCAGATAAATATTTATGATGGAACTCATGACCAATTCAGTTAAATCTAGGTTACATTGTTTTAGTTCTTGGTTTACTATTTGAAGTGAGGAAATGCGAAGCTAAATAGCTCGAGTTATTGATTATTGCACGCGTGGATGCAAATTACTATTGGTGGCTTAGTTTGTAATTAGAATCATTGTTTTATGTTAATAGGCTCCTCACTCCGCCCGGAACTCCGGTTTTTCCACCATCAGAAAGTGAATCACAACCAACCTTGGCGCCTCCGAGAAGAAGTTTGAGTAGATCAACTTCTACCACTAAGGCCTCAAGGGTATGTGTGGTCCTCTCATAGTTTATAAATACATCTTTCCTTTTTCTACCAAATTTTGATATATTTGTTCTCATGAGGGCAAAAGCAATTAAATGTATACATGTTCTGTTTCTTAAGTTGATTTCCGTATTCAATATGGATATGGTAGTTCACCAGTTAGTACCTTTGAGCTTAGTGATTACTTGGAGAACTAATTTAATTATTTATTGACCTGTTGAAAATGATGTGTTAGGTGTTTTTAATCATGTTTAACTTCTTAGTCATGTTTGTTTCAGCTTTCGGTCTCACAATCTGAGAGCAACAATCACTCTAGACCAGCAAGAAGCAGTTCAGTGACTCGTCCTTCAATCTCCACTTCACACTCGCAGTATAACAACAACTATTCTTCAAACAGATCCTCCTCCACAAATATCCTCAACACAAGCTCAGCCTCAGTTTCATCTTACATTAGACCATCTTCCCCGATAACCCGTTCGACATCTTCGACTAGGCCTTCAACTCCTACTTCCCGCACAACACCATCAAGGTCCTCAACACCCTCCAGAATACGTTCAGTTTCAACGAGCTCTACTGCTGAAAAGCCTAGACCAATATCACAAAGCTCAAGGCCTTCCACTCCTAGTTCTAGGCCTCAGGTTCCTGCAAACTTACATTCTCCATCTGCACCACCAACTCGTTCATTATCCCGTCCCTCTACTCCCACTCGTAGGAGTTCAATACCATCACTTTCTCCTTCCTCTGCAACAAATTCTTCAACTTCAGCTGGACGTGTTTCATTGAATGGACGTAGTTCAGCACCATCCTCACGGCCAAGCTCACCGAGTCCACGAATCCGACCCCCACCACAGCCTGTTGTTCCATCCGATTTTCCCCTTGATACACCACCAAACCTCAGAACAACGTTACCTGATAGGCCAGTCTCTGCTGGTAGGTCCCGTCCTGGTGCTAACACTCTGAAGGGAAATAGTTCTGAAACTCAAGCGTCAGTTAATATGCCAAGGCGAGCTTCGTCTCCTATTGTCAGTAGAGGCAGATCGACAGAACCTGTCAGTAAAAGTCGTGGCTTTGCCAACGGCAATGGCCATCATACCGATGTTCATGAGCCTAGAAAAGCTTCACATGCTCCCGAGGTAGCTGCAAGAAGATCGGTTAAAGCCTCAACCAACACAACTGACAACTCTGGATTTGGGAGGAATATCTCAAAGAAATCCTTGGACATGGCAATCAAGCACATGGTTTGTATACTCTATTTTGTTGCTGAAACTTATTTTGAGAAGATCTATGCTTCAAGCAAGTTTGTTCTATCACGCAAACCAAATTTACATTTACTTTGCTGATTAACAGGACATAAGGAACGGCTCAGGAAACCATCGTGCACTATCAAGCACCACACTCTTTCCACAAAGTATTCGAAATTCCACCCCCAAGACTCAATACCACCGCGGTTCAAGTGCTCCGCCAACATCTATCGAAGTGAACGGAAACATACTAAACAAAAGCAACGGATCCCATTTTGACGTGGTAAACGGAATCAATAGAAATATGATAAAAGGAAGAGAGATAGATGAAAGACAATACTCAGCCAAACTGAGTGAAATTGACGTATACGAGAGCTCTCGTTATGATGCGCTGTTGCTTAAAGAAGATTTGAAGAACACAAACTGGCTGCATAGTGTTGATGATAAATTTGATCAAGGCTCCTTATTATTTGATACTGGATTTGAGAACCTGCCTGAGCCTTTTGGTCTCTTATAGCATCTAGGTTCTGGTTGATGCTTTTGTAACATGTTATTTATGTTGTAATTCTTATCTCATTTTCTATTATAGATGGATGAGATATTTCAAATTATAAATGTCAAAGTGGAAAAGAAAGTAAAGATGCATTATATGTTTTCTGCAATATGCAGATAAATCAGTGGATTTATTTTATCTTATACCTATACAAATAATGCAGGAAAAATATTACAATGATTGAGTGTTTATTTTCCCCCTGTAATGAACAATATAATTCAACTGGCAAAAAAACCGATATTGCTAGATTGGACATTACTAATAGAGTTCTGTGTGAGTTTCTATTATTATCTAAACTCCTAATTTTTTTTTTATACTGATAATTATTTTATACACATTCAAACTATGGTCATAAGAGTCATATTTGACTCAAGGGATAAGTTTATTCAGTTGTGCACAAAAATAAATAAAATGATGAAATTAAATAAGCATGTTGGAGATGAATAAAACACTGAAAATTTGTGTTTGATTTGTGGGAACATTAATATTATCTTCAAAACAATTTGATAAGTTACAAGAATCATCAATCTCATTGAGAATACTGAATGTTGAATTATCGAGCCATTTTTCCATGGAAATCAGGTTTATTAAAAGAAAATACACTTTTCCAATTTATAAAGCATTAATAGGTTGAGATATCGAAATTTACGAATTCCATAATTAATTGGATACACATTTTCAATACCATGGGATGCCTAATTAATTGGATACACATTTTCAATAGCATGGGATGCCATTGGATGCACATTTTCAATAGCATGGGATGCCTAATTAATTGGATACACATTTTCAATACCATGGGGTGCTACCATGGTGGTTAAGAAATTTTAATGCACTTAACTCAACAAAGGGAGTTAGTTGGGATTTCTGCACAAACATAAGATAAAATTTCATATTTTTTGACTCGAGATAATTTGGGACAAAACATTAATGTTAGGCATATTAAGGATTTGGTATGTTATTTAGCGAAATTTCCAAAAATTAATTGCTGACTAATTCGATAGATCGAAGGAGATTCGACCAAAACAAGTTTAAAATCAAACCAAATAAATGTTTTGTGGTCTTATCCAAAGTATCAAAAATATGTGGAGATCAATCGAAGGCAAGTGAAACATGCAGAAGTGACGTGTCGAATGAAAGACAGTTGAATGTTAGTTTCATAGTACTATAAATAAAGATTCTAGTGTTAGGATTAAGGATGGCAAAATCATTGTAAACTTCAATACAAATTCAAAGTACTCATATGTAAGCGAAAAACAAGTTTCTGAAGAAAATGTATTTGTCTACCAATTTTTACTTATGCAAATAAAGTCTTTCCATGTTATCTACATTTACTTATTTATTTATTTATTTTTTCCGTTCAAGTTATCATTTTGACTTAGTCATAACTGTTGTTACCTTTACTTTCAAACATAAACCTTTTTCCAAAGTAGTCAACACAAATATTTGATGTTGAAATACAAAAGACTAAAAGACATATGAATAATCCATGTGTTTTTAAAAGCACTACAGAGATATTATCATATATAGAGAGATTACAACTCATTACATGATATAGTCGATGTGAGACTATTCTATATACAAATATTCTTAACACTATATTTACAAATATCAACACTCCCCCTCAAGCTTGAGCATATAAGTCAAATGCACCAAGCTTGTTACATATATAATTAGTTCTAGGGCTTTGCAGAGATTTTGTAAACACGTCTGCCAATTGAATATTAGAGTTTACAAAGCTTGTGACGATGTCACAAGACTCGATCTTCTCTATGACAAAGTAACAGTCTATCTCAATATGTTTGGTCCTCTCATGGAAGACTGAATTTGAAGCAATGTGCAATGCAACTTGATTATCACAAATAAGTGACATTGTTCTCACTTCTTCAATTTGAAGTTCCTTGAGCAACTGCTTTAACCAAATAAATTCACATGTTGCCATTGCCATGACCCTATCTCTGTCTCGGAGCTTGATCTTGTAGTAACGTTTTGTTTCTTACTCTTCCAGGATATAAGATTTCCTCCAACTAGTACACAATACTCAGAAGTAGATCGTCTATCAATGAGTGACCCAACCCAATCAATATTTGAGTATCCAACTATCTGAGTATGTCATTTATCTTCATACACTAAACCTTTTCCTAGAGCACATTTGATGTATCTCAGAATCCGAATAACGACACCCATGTGTTTCTGGCAGGGGGAATTTAAGAACTAGCTTACCACACTAACTGCAAAAGAAATGTTCGGACGAGTGATTGTGAGATAATTCAACTTTCCAACCAATCTCCTATACATTCCTGAGTCAGATAGAGGCTTCCCTTGATTGGGTAGTAGTTTGACACTTGGATACATATGAGTATCAGTTGGTTTAACATTCAACAAACTTGTTTCTTCCAAAATATCCATAGCATATTTTCGCTGAGAAATCACCAAACCATCTTTAGATTGGGCTAACTCAATACCCAAGAAATAACGGAGTTTACCAAGATCTTTTGTGTGAAATTGATTTGAAAGATGTTGTTTTAACTGGAGTATTCCCTGTTGATCACTACCTGTTATGACAATATCATCTACATACACAACAAGATAAATGCACCCTTAGGCCGAGTGACTATAAAAAACAGAATGGTCAGCTTCACTACGGACCATACCAAACTGTTGTACTACAGCGCTGAATCTGCCAAACCAACCTCTCGGAGATTGCTTAAGACCATAAAGAGACCTGTGTAGCCTACACACTATATTCGATGACCCCCCCTGAGCAACAAACCCAGGTGGTTTCTGTAACACCCCATTCCCCAAAACAAAATAAAACAATTAAAATAAACACATATCAGAGTTCCTCTCCCAAACGGGATGTCACAATTCACATCAGAATTTCACAAAACATTTTTCCAAATTAATTTTCAATAAATTTGCAGCGGAAAATGAATATAGTCTTTCGTAACACAAAACAACATATATATACATCATCCATGTCATCAACATCATCATATATACAACCATCAACCATCTGCCCAAAAATATATAACATAATCATCAAACATCATCACATGTCTCGCAAAAGTCAGATACGCCACAGGGGCACACATATCAACAGTAAACAATAAGACTCCCAAAAAGCCTCGATGTTACGTATCAGAGCAGTCCTACGACGACGCCACAATCCAAGCTAGCTAGACACCTGGATTGTCTGTACTTCCGTAGAAGCACAGACCACAACAACAACACAGGGGTGAGAATCACGATCAAATAATAATGGTATAATGGTACATGAAATAAAAGGCAGAAACAATAAATCATTATTTCGCATACAGTATATCCGGACCTACTATCCCATCATCAATAATCACAATTCACACAAACCACAATGCAACACATGCACTTGACTCAACAATATGCGGTACCGACTCACAACAACGATGGGCACCGGGCCATCAACCCTCCACAAAGGAGCACACATCAACGATGGGCACTTGGCCATCAACCCTCCACACAGGAGCACACGCACCGATGGACACCTGGCCATCACCCTCCACACAGGAGCACACACACCGATGGACACCTGACCATCAACCTCTACAAAGGGAGCACATCTCCGATGGTCACTGAGCCATCACCCTCCTCACATGGAGCATCACACCGATGGACACTAGGCCATCACCCTCCTCACAGGAAGCACATCATCAACGTCCCCCACTTGGGACACGGGTGGTCGCATACACTCCATCCGAGCAACGATCCAAATCCCGTCCACGCTCCCCACTGGAGCACGTAAGTGCATCACACAACACGACCACATGCTTAGCAAGACACTATGCATAAACACACAACACACACAGTGCACACGACCCCACTGGTCCATCGCATCATAATATGCATACATACACAAGCACACAAAGTGCATCGATCCTACCGATCAACTCACCACACAACATATCACATACAATGCACACAAGGCGTGCCGATCCTACTGACCCAAATATATCACACAACAGCATATAAATGCAACGCATAATCAGTGTATCGATCATACGGATCCACTCATCACAACACATCACCACAATGCACTCACGGCGTGTCGATCATACTGGTCCACATATCTCACACACTTAGCACATCGTGCACACATCTCACAAACATAGCCACACTTGTCGAGACATAACACATAATCCCCTGATTATGTCTAAGGCGATAAACGCCGGCTACACAGCCCTACAACCTTCAACATACATTCGCATCAACTCTCCAGCAAGCTCATCATCGCACATGACCAACAAGGGTACAGTTCCACAAAGGAAACAACACAAAACAGCAGTAAAAACACAAACTGCTGTCGGGCTCGCTGGCGCATTCGCCCGGCAAAGCCCCGCAGCGAACACTCGCTGCCATTCGCCTGGCGAAGCCCCGCAGCGAATACTTGCTGGAACTCGCTTGGCGAAACTTCTGGAGAAGCCAGACAGTAGCTTCTGCCAGCACTCGCTGGCCAGTTCTCCTGGCGAAGCCTCGCTCCCCCATTCGCCAAGCAAAGGCTGGCAAACACCTGCAGAATCAGAAAAGTTCTGCGCAGCAGAATCATCACCCACACCGATTCCACCCGATTAAATCAAAACTCACAACCAACAACATACTACAACTTGGTTACGGGGTCTGTTCCCGATTCTATCCGACAAATTGTCAACTCTGCTCTAGGAACCAACTTCCGGCTCAACTTTGAAATTACCCGGAAGCTCCAAAACGCTCAAACAATCGAACACAGCCATGTGCAATGATTTCAATACGATTCAACACAATAATAACAACATCAATATCATGCATTCAACATCAGATTATCATATCCTATGGGGATTAGGGATTTTCCCATTTCTACCAATTTTCATGCAAAACCATTTAACCGTTAAATTCTCCCCCTACCTCAATTGAAGTTCTGATGTTGATGAAGCACCAAAATCCTCACGAAT